GGCTTAAGGTGGCGTGTAATGAGCGTTTCAGGCTGCGCTGAGGGGCATTTGGGTGTTGAAGAGACGGCGAGTCTGAAGGTGGCGGCAGCGGGGGGAGGGACGGTGGACTGATGTCGACGGAGGTGCCGGAGAGTGCGGGGATGCTTGAGAGGCTGATGTTGGCGCAGGCGCAGGAGTGTTTTTTTGAGAAGGTTATTGGGGATGGGAAGCCCCCAGGGCTTTGCTCGAAGGTTGCGAGGCAGGTAAATGCTACATTTATGTGCTGATCTTCATTTAAATTAGTTCAAGCTTTGTAGAGTAGTTTAATTTGATGTAGAGCATTTCCTTAATTTTATGAATTCTATGGGTTGTAGAGAAATGAAGGGAATTGTCACACGTTTGGTGTAGATGGGCTGGAAACATAGTATATCTTGTTCAATCAATCAATTATTGGTGTTGATTGATTTCTTTTAGACTGTGAAAGTTGAATATGATTTTAGTCAGTGGTTTCATTCATTACTTAGAGTAGGACTTGAAGGCAATTAGATCAAGAACATGAAAATAAAGAAAATTCAATTAGATTCTCGAGGGGCTAGCCTACTTTTAATGGACAAGCAATTTATTTAGATATTGTTCAATCAGTTAAATATTCATTAGTTGTTACTAGAGAAATGAGGTACGTAAATACTATTGCCATATTGTAAAGAGATACCAAAATTGCAACTCAAAAGTACGACATGTAACATTATCAAGTGATACCAGGATACCAATTTTTTTAATATTAATATTCGTTTTAGTCTCTTGTGGGTAATTGAATTGTGATGTAGAGGTTTTTCTTTGGTTTTGTGAGTATCAGTTGGTATGTAGAGAAATGAAGGAAAAGGTGAGACATCACCAATTTAAGACATATTTTTCATGCAGTGGATGACTGTTCTTGATCGATTAGTTTTAGTTCCTCAACATTGAACTTTGATTTAGGCACTTTTATAGTGTGATGGATTGAGTACTGCATATAGAGTAGACAGTTCTGGACAATCAGATCAAGAACATGAAAATAAGGGAAACATTTTATATCCATATTCTGGAGACTACTTTTGATGGGCAAACAATTTATATCCATATTCTTCCATCAGCTTATTCATGGGTTCTTACTACAAATGCGCTTCTACTATAAATACTATTCCTGATTTTGAAAGAGATACCACCACATATGCAACTAGATCATTATCTAATATAGTTGATTTTTGGTGAATTTTGTAGGTTGGTCTCTACTATGAAGAAGCTTATGCAGCTCTGAACTCTGCTCCTCTTAACCAGCATTTTGATCGCACATGGATCTCTCATGTGCAGTTAAAGTCTGCCCAGTTCTATGCTGAGTCTTGTTATAGGTACGCCTTAGAGCTTCACAGTAAAGATGAGATTGCTGAAGAAATAGCACGCCTCAAGATTGGATTAGGTGCACTCTCGGATGCAAAGAAATCTGCCAAGGGAGTTGCTGCGCCTCTTCTTGATTCTGTGTCCAAACTGGAGAGCAATATGAATCGTAATCTTGAGAGGGCTGTGAAGGAGAATGATCGGGTTTATCTACAGAGGGTACCAGCTGCTAGTTCTCTGTCAACTTTACCTGCAGCCTCTCTTGTCAAGCCAGTGCCAATGGCTGAAGTTTTAGATGCTAGCAAGGAAAGGATGTTCTCGGGTATTGTACCAGATACTAGTGCTAAGGCTCTCTCCAGGTACACTGAGATGGTTGATGACATAATTCGGACTCAAGCTGAGAAATTGCAGCAGGGTAGTGAAATCACAAGGGTTAAATTGAAGGAGATGGACCTTCCTGATTCTATCTTGGCCCTGGAAGGTAACATTACTTTGCCAATGGATCTTAAGGAAGACGTTGAGGCTGTACAGATTAGTGGTGGTCCTTCTGGTCTAGAAGCTGAGCTGCAGCAGCTCAGAGATTTGAGGAGAGTAAATCAGGAGCTTTTGGTCCAGACTGAAGAGGCATTACAGAAGGAAGCAAGTGAGGATGCTCAGTTCAGGACCCAGTTCGGATCTCGGTGGACTAGACCACAATCAAGCACTCTGACGAAAAATTTACAGGATAGATTGAATAGATTTGCTGCAAACCTTAAGCAAGCCACTGATAGTGATGCAAGGATTGAACGATCTGTGAGAGAGAATGCGGCACTCATGGCAATCCTTGACCATACACCGGTATGCCTTATTTTTTTATGCATTTCATTTTTTGTATATTTGTGAAATACTGACATGTCACTTATGATAAAGTTGCAATATGGATATACTAACTTTACTGGTTCGAGAAGTCTGGCCTTTTCAACCTGTTTACTAGCTTTTTGTAGGATAATGCTTTGTGACGGGTTATGTTAAGAAGATAGTTGTATGATCATTTATAGTTTATTTACTATTTTCTATAACCATGCTTAGAAAAAAACAATGATAGAGGTGATGTGTTAGTATTCACTGTATCTTAGATCTTCTCTTCATATCATTTTGTTGACTAAAGAGCAACAATGCTTATCTCAGTTTCCATTTTCTCTGTGATAACTGCAGATAGAATCTGCACTACCAAGTCTTGCAAGGCCTATTATGTCTTTGGATAGCAATGAAGATGCTATAGTGGGAGCCCTCAAGCAGAGCTTGGTAAAGTATTCTTTCATACAGCTTAATGCTGCTTTTCACTAATTCTGCATTTTTAAAGCTTTGTGAGGTCAGGTTTTCTTTTCTCCTTCTTTCTAGTTTTCCTTGTTTCCTATCATGCATAATTATGGCCAGTTTGATCTTGCTTTTTTTTAAGGGTGCTTTTGCTTATTTTTTCAAGAAGCAGCTAATAATGGTGTTTGATAAAAAAAATTTTTGGCATGCTTATTGAAATTGCATCTGCTTTTAAGGGCGTGTTTTTTAGAAGCAATTTAGGATGCTTTTAAAAGTAGCTTTTATTTTTTTTAGGTTTATCTACTGTATATACTTATTATCTTTTACCAGTGATCATTAAGCACAGTTCTACCGAATACCTTCACTGTTTTTGATGTAGTTTTTTATATTTGATTACCAAACATCTATTTTTAGCAGTTTATATAAGTTACAGAAAAAGTTGATTCTGTAAGCTGATTTTAAGCTTCAACAATACCAGACTGACCCATAGACTGGTCCACTTATTTTGCACCAACAACTTTATAGACATAATATTATTTTTCTAAAGTTGAGTGCATGACTCTGACCATCATGTAAATTTTATTTGAGAGTCTTGTCATCATCAAACTGAATTTACTAGTTTAGTTTGCAAGTGCCATGATGGAAATCATTGAAAAGATCAGATTATAAGCCTTCAACAAATTTGGTTCTTGTTGGGTTTAGTGTAAATCCTGAAAACACCCTTGTTTGATATCCCGTTACCTAAAGCTAAACCAACCAGGACCCATCAGGCGTTATCCACTCTAGCCCAACCAAATGGCAAACGCTCTGTTTAGGTTGGTGGGGTTTAGCCTGAAAAGAGCTGGATCACATTTGGCACGTGTAGTTAACCTAACCAAGTAGGTGTAGAATCCAAGAGAACATTTTATTTATTAGTTTCGACGGTATAAATTTATTTTGACATTTTTCTAATGTGGATGCTCACTTTTTCTGTA